CCCCTCTGAGAGGGTCTGGGAGACCACTGGGGGTCTGCAGACCACACTCAGAGAGCTGCTGGTGTAAATGGTATAAATACCACTTTAGGTAAGTGGATTTATGCCATTTAGCTCTGGGTTGCCTCCTCTGTTGTTTTAACAGGTATGATTTATGAAGTTTTCAATAATGTTAACAGATACCGGTTTGCTGCTTGCATTGGCTAACATATAACTCGTAAATCTTTCATATCGAGCTTTTAAAAAAATCTGAGTTTTTCCTAAAGATTTTTGTCAGCATAAGGAGGGGAAGCAGCAGACAGAGAAGCCGACTCCCCACTGAGCAAGAAGCCTGATGTGGGACTCGATCCAAGGATCCTGTGATCATAAATTTTTTAGAAAAAGTTTACTCTTTGTGTTACTTTATTGCTCTATCCGATTTTGAAAGCGTAGCTTAGAATACTTGTAACAGGTGAAGTAAGCTGCGGTTGGATTACTGGGTACAGTTACTGGCTCCTGAAACAGTAGCATATTAATAGGATTTTTAAATATGATGAGTTAATTTAAAGTTTTCATGTTTGGGGCACCTGGGTGGCTCAGTCCGCTAAGCGTCTGACTCTTGATTTCAGCTCAGGTCGTGATCTCAGGGTCATGAGACTAAGCCCCACGTTGGGCTCTGTGCTCAGCATGGAATCTGCTTGAGGTTCTCTCCTCCTCCCTCTCCCCCTCCCCCTGCTCACATTCTCTCTTTCTCTGTAAATACATAAATAAAATCTTAAAAATCTTTTCATGTTCTTGCATATTCTGCCAAATTGAGAGGAAATGTGTTTGGAAACTAGGTCCGGCATTGATTTCTTGTTCAGCTGCTTAAACTTTGTGGGTCTGTGTCATGTTGTGGTATACGATAAGAAAGCTATATTTGGTTTTTCCTCCCATTTTTGGCACAGAGCTCCTAAAACCCTAGGTGATAAGAGTAATAAAGGTAATCTTGTTACTGGTGATGTGCCCCTTGCAGTCACACCTGCAATTATGGTAACACCAGTGCCTTTTGTAAAGCTGCTGAGAGTGGAGGCTCGTCGCCGGTGGACCAACCTTGGTTAGAGAGTTGAACTTGCAGTCCTACCTCTGGAGATGTGTGAGGGTCTAGAGGCAGCGTCAGTCACTGATGGCCAGTGATCGACTCAGTCATGCCTATATAAGGAAGTCTCCATAAAAACCCAAAAGGACAGAGTTAGAGTGCTTCTGGGTTAGTGAATGGGTAGAGGTGCTGGGGGGGGGGGGGGGGGGGGGGGGGGGGGATGGGAGGGGGGGGGGGGGGAGGGGTTGGGGGGGGGGGGGTTGTGGAGAGTCATGCACCAGGAAAGAGAGAGGGCCCAGGGGCCCTGTGCTCCTTCCCACATACTTGCCCTGGTATCTCTTCTATCTGGCTGTTCCGGAGTTGCATCTTTTTATAACAAACCGGTGATCTAGTCAGTAAATGGTTTCCTGAGTTCTTTGAGTGGCTCTCGCAAATTAATAAAAATCAAGCAGGGATTCATGGGAACCTCTGATTTATAGTGAATTGATCGGAAGCACAGGTGACCGCCTGAACTTGCGATGACATGGGGGTGGGGGCAGTCTTGTGGGGCCGTGCCCTTAACCTGTGGGATCTGATGCCGTCTGCAGGTGGCGAGTGCCAGAACTGAATTCAATTGTAGGACACAGCTCGTGCCGCAGAATTGTCTGATGTGTGGAACACCGCAGTTGGTGTCAGAAGTGGTGTTACAGTGAAGTACTGAGAGGAAGAGGAGTGTATATTTCTTAATATACACAGGAGGAGTGTATATTTCTTAATAGTTGTGTGTAAGAACTTAATAGTTCTTAACAGCATATGAAACAGCGTATGCTGTTTCTCTGGGTTCAATGAGACCATTTTGTGCTTTACTGAAAACTCAAAACTTTCTGCGACAAACACTTGCACTTCTGTGGTTGACCATTAGATGTCATGAGTGCCACGGGAGCCCTAAGGGTTACCCAAGGCCAGTAGAAACTGAGCATTGTAAGCTCGTAGACCTTCACATATTTCACTGTTTCCACGTGATCGATGCCAGAAGAACCTGATACTGTGTGATATATAGAAGCAAGGTGCAACTGGAATAATGAAATTTCAAAAATAAGCCTTTTTAAAGGAGGGTTGTAATAGTTCTATTGGGTATTGTAAATGTTTCAGGTGCACTTGATATCGCTGCTGGGTTCCTGGCGTTTGGGTCTCTCTTTTTTTTATGGAAAGATGGATTGAACTTCAATTTAAGAATATTCAGTAATCCCTCTCAGGACGTACTGTAACAGCTGGTATTTTGGTGTTGTAGTAAATCGATTCCATACAACAGTCAGTAATAATTACGGCTGGGTTCTGACAAATTCCAAAGTATTTTCAATAAATTTAGCCAAAGAAAATAACATGATCACTACAAAAATTTAGCTCAGTTTGAGAGTTAAACCCAACAACTCTGCTTCGTTGCACAAAATAGTAAGCATTTTTTACTGGTTGGGATTTTATCAAACCATTTGCTTTTTATTAGTATACATAGATATGTTCTGAGGAGATAATTACTTTGTAGCATATATTTCTTAAGTAATACGACTTTGGAAAGAATCTTGGGTGTTTGTCATAAAATACAAAGTGAGAAATGCTGAGGCCTTTCATAAATGGCTTTATGTGTACAGCACCAGTATCAACTCAGAAGAATATTTTGCCATGGGGATGTAAGGTTGTCCTAGTAGTAATAGAATGATATAAGATCACTTACTATATATGGTGTTTGTGGTTTATAAAAGTGAAGCATTGTAAGATCTTTAAGGTGTGAAGAAGGGGTTAGTATCTATGGCATAGACTGTTGTGCAACTATTTCTATAGTTCAGCAATCTATACTATTTAAATTATGATTTTTGGCCTAAAGAGCTTAAATTATCTACGTAATACACACACGCGCGCACACACACACACACACACAAGATAACTATCTACCCACATGTGTACACATATTGCCCTAATGGTAGAAATGAGTGTGCGTATGCTTTACAAATTTCAACTGTTTCCTCCTTTTTTTTTTCTCATCAGAACAATAGTCTTACTGAGTGCCTTCTTTAAATCATGTATGGTCTGTTTCATACAGACCATAATTAAGGAACACTTTTATGTAGTTGAATTTTAATCCTGATCGTTAGAATAATTTATGAAAGCAAAGCCCAGTTGCCTCTTAAAATTATTGGGGAAAACAGCCTCAGAGATGGGCATTAATGAAACTTTGTCTTTCTCACTTATTTTTAGCTTCGTGATTTAGTTTATTTGGTCTTTAAAATAACTGCCCTCATATTTTCAGTTAACAGTCTTCTCTGCATACTTTATCAACCCTTATAATATGAAACAAAATGCAGGCCACTGCATTAGTTTGGTTCAAGATAGTCTATTTGGTGAATTTTTTCATACTAACATTTGCTTTGATAGTTTAAAAAGCTAATTTAGAAGGTTTTAATAGAATTTTGCAGCTCAGACTTTTTCAAGTGAAATTTGGCAAGCCCGTTATTCCTTATTCTGTAATATGAATCAACAATTTAAGGGCTTTTTCACGGGTTGAAGTGAGCCAGTTTTTCGAGTGTTTATAATATCTGTTTTTCTTGTTAATATATGTTAAAATATGCTTTTAAATTACTGAATTTGCTTTATAGAGAACTGGGGGAAAATGCATTAAAAATGGACTTAAACACATTGCGCGGGTCTTCTGATTTCTAAAAAAATGTAAATGGAGTGTATTTTCCGTTATTAGGCAGCAGTGGTCCAAATTTAAACCACATGGCCTTCTCCTAGGTGTCAGGCCAGCGTAAATTTTAATCTCGCTACGTTCTTTTATGTTTTCATTTTATAATCTCATTGCCTGAATTAAACAGCTCCAGTCACAAGAGCCAGCATTTCTTGTTTGCTGGTCACATGTCAGACGGTGTGTTGTGAGTCTTGACCTATTTAATTATCAAACAATTCTAAATTGTTGTTATCTCCATTCATATAGATGGACGTGAAGGCGCAGTAAGATCAAATACATCGTCCAAGGTCACGGTTTAACAGGTTGAAAGATTAGGCCAGACTCTGGAGTCCTTGTTCTTCCGATAGGAGACAACAGTGCCTTCCTGCTTATGGCGGGATAACCCGTAGTTAAAACAACTTTGGAAAAAAATTGGTATTTTTTCGAAGTGCATCAAGCTTAGCTTTTTACTGAAAGAACTGACTTTTGTGTATAGCGTGGATCGGGAGGCCTCGTTTAGATTGATAACACTTCTGCGATTCCCTAACATTTTCAGTTCTAGTAGTTTCTCCAGGTGATTGGCAGTTTCAGTTAGAGGACTTGGCAGTGGCATATTAGGATGAGCTAGTTAACAAATCACAAGTGTGTTTATAAGTCATGGACCATCGACAGAGTCTCCGTTCTGCATTAGAAATATAGCGTGGAATCACAGTAACAGATTGAGAGCATCTTAGAATAGCACTGGCGTGAAAAACCTTCTTTACGGGGCGCCTGGGTGGCTCAGTGGGTTAAAGCCTCTGCCTTCGGCTCCTGTCATGATCCCAGGGTCCTGGGATCGAGCCCCCCATCGGGCTCTCTCCTCAGCGGGGAGCCTGCTTCCTCCTCTCTCTCTCTGCCTGCCTCTCTGCCTACTTGTGATCTCTGTCTGTCAAATAAATAAATAAAATCTTTAAAAAACCCAAAACCTTCTTTATGTTCTTAATCTGCATTCAGCAGCCCTCAAACCAACTGCAGAAATTTTCCTGGAAGCCTTGATACATGCAGGAGGAGCTTTCGTGGTTTTAACTAGAAATTTCACATCCAAATCAAAAACTCTCAACCTTCCTATGTGCACCTAGCGTGTAGACAGATTTGGAAGAATGGTGAAGCATGTTGGAATAAGAACTCTGAATTAGTCGTAGAACGTTGCAATTTAGTCGCCTTCCCTATTACTATTTTTAAAGTGTTTTTCTTCTTTTTTTTTAGAAACGGCCTGCTTGATATATAAATCTTGGTCGACAGCGTGGCTGCAGGCCTCTGGACTGGAATTCTCCGTGGCTTTCTAAGTGGAGAGTGTCTGGTGTGTGCTGTCCTGGCTTGTGGCTTGCATCATGCCAGCCTTGTCAACAGGATCTGGGAGCGACGCAGGTATGTGAACCCATGAGGGGCGGGTTTCCGTCCATTGTTACTGAAATTTTCTTGTTCACCGCATTGCTTTAAGTGAGCGCAGATGGATCAGGCTTGCTTTTGTGGAACCTGCGCAAGGGGCACAAAATCAACTCAGATGCATCCTTCCAAGATAAGAGTTGTCAAAGGACCTGGTGGCTCGTGATGATGCCCTCCTACGGCCTTGCCTTTTGGAATACTGCCATGCATTTAAAGTGCTTTTTTAAAAAAAAAAGAAAATTGAGTGTTTTAAAGCATACAAAAAAGCGTGCCAAATACCGTGGTAGTCTTGTTATCCTTCACTCAGATTTGATAACAGGTATGAACTTTTCTGCCATACTTCAGACCCCTCACTTTTTTAAGAAATGAAACAAGGGCGCCTGGGTGGCTCAGCTGTTAAGCGTCTGCCTTCAGCTCAGGTCATGATCCCTGGGCTCTGGGATCGAGCCCCAAATCGGGCTTCCTGCTCAGGGAAGCCTGCTTCTCCCTCTCCCACTCCCCCTGCTTGTGTTCCCTCTCTCACTGTGTCTCTGTCAAATAATTGAATAAAATCTTTAAAACAAAACAAAACAAAAGAAATGAAACACAGTCTCTGTGTACCATTCTGGCATTTTCTTTCTTCCTATCCCCACAAGTCAAAAAACCGAAGTTGACATATGTCGTTAAGGGTTTCGGTTAAAACAAACAAACATAGTTCACCTCATCATCAGTGGTGAGATTTAGTGGTACTTGGAATAAAGGGTTCCAGGAAAGAGAAGAAACTCATGTATGTATGTATGTGTGTGCAGAATCCTGTCCTCCTGACCTGTTTTATGGAGGTATGTGAGGGAGGTTGGTGCCCCCTTTGAAGTTTTATTCTGGGATCAGCACTTTTTATTTTTCATCTAAAAGAAATTTTAATTAATTAATTAATTTTTTTTTTTTATTTTAGTTTGGTCAACACACAATGTTGCATTAGTTTCAGGTTTACAGAGTAGTGATTCAGCTTCTCCGTAGGTTATGCTGTGCTGCCCACAAGTGTAGCTGACATCCGTCGCGACCCAACACTGTTACAGTGTCATTGACTGTATTCCTTATGCTGTGCCTTTAAGCTCCCGGGACTCATTCATCCCATCACTAGATGCCTGCGTCTCCCACGCCTCTTCCCCTATTTTGCCCATCCTCAGCTGCCTCCCCTCTGGCAACCATCAGTTTGTTTTCTGTATTTATAGGTGTGAAAATCAGCACTTAAAAAAATTCGTGGACCTTTCGCCGAACTATTAGAACAGAATGTGAGCAGGGATGAGGAGCTATGCCTTGCGTTTTTTTTTTTTTTTTAAAGATTTTATTTATTTATTTGACAGAGATCACAAGTAGGCAGAGAGGCAGGCAGAGAGAAGAAGGGAAGCAGGCTCCCTGCTGAGCAGAGAGCCCGATGCGGGGCTCAATCCCAGGACGCTGGGATCATGACCCGAGCTGAAGACAGAGGCTTTAACCCACTGAGCCACGCAGGTGCCTCTACGCCTTGCATTTTTAAGACCCCCTCAAAAGAAGTGGCATAGTGTGTGACTAAATGTTCTGTGTGTTGCATTGACCGTCCTGAATTTGGTTTAAGCCAGTGCCATTCTGTAAGCAGCACGATGGCGGTCTTTGTTGTGGGCAGTTACTGGCACCATAATTTTAACAAAGCTGAGCCACAAATTTGGAGTTACCCTTCCTTGCTCTCTCAAGCATATCCGTACCTACCTTTTGGCAAGTTTTGTCTCATCTTTATCCGTCTATAATGATTTTTTCCACTGTAATTTACACTGAGGATTAGTTTTTCTTAGGAAGTGATTTTGATTTTCAAATACATAAAAATTCTTTTTTTCTCAAGACATTGGCTTGGAAGCTAGGTCCTTTGGAAAAAATTTTTTTGCTTCGTTTTAGTTTTTATATAGTCCCACATTGTGTTCTACTATATAAAATGAATGATTTAACTTTCCATAGTGGTTTGGGAAATTATAGATGAAATTTATTTGAACCATAAATTTACTGCTGTTGTGTAGCGAATAAGTTTTATGCCTTGCTGTTTGCCAAAAATGCCTCAATTTAATTGAATGCAAAATATTGTTGCTTACAGCTATCTCAAGGAATGATTAAAATGGAGTATTTGTAGTTCATAAAATGGAGTATTTGTAGTTCATGGGGGCAGTCGAAGGGTCACTCATGAAAATAGCAGAGGCTACTCAGAATTGGAAAAGGACTTTCCCTATGTAGCTGGCTCACATTGTGCAAATCTCAAGTACCCGTGTGACTCACACCTGGCTTTGCGATCTTTTTTGACCCATATGTCCCAGCAGGGTTAGAATCAAGCAGAGAAGACGTGCCTGTTGCAAGAGAAGCTCCAGCATTCAGGGAAGCTGTAGTGCGTGGTGCACTCAGGAGACGATTACTGTTCCCTTGTAGTTCCTTGCAGACCAGATACAGTTTACCAGTCAGGGGTCTTTCTCACCCTTGACAGTGTTTCTTAGCAATGTCCTCTCCAGGGCACTGAGCTGGAGAGCATAACCAAAGAGCCGATGCTCATGCAGCAGGAGAGAGTGGCTCACAGCTGCTCCAGTGCCCATAGTACTCAACATGGGAAACTACTTCCAAATACTTTTGGTGTAAAACTTAGGCCATCTCTTCCCCTCCCCTCTCTGCTTATTTCACTAAGGAAAAAAAGTGTTTAATTACACAAGGAATCCATAAAAACATCCTCCTTGTCAAAGATGTGTAGATAAAGGAAAGAAATTTTTTACCCACCCTTACCCTGCCCCCAATCTCATTTTCTTTCTCCATTTTATGAATATCCTTCAAGAATGTTCTGTACGTTCAGCAGCTATATATTGATGTCCAGAAATAATACTGTTTTAGGTTGTTTTGTTCTTTACTTTTTAATCAGAATCTGTCATACTCGGGGTTGTTCTATAATGTTCTTTCCTATATCAAGTAATGTCTCAGAACTATATTTCCATGGTGTGTGTGTGTGTGTTTGTGTGTGCGAGTGTGCACACGTGTGTATTTTTATAACTTTCTACCTGTACATACCTCTGTATATCTACCTCTTTCTTTTTTCTATTTTAAGGATTTTATTTATTTATTTGACCGACAGAGATCATAAGTAAGTGGGGGGTGGGGAGGGCAGCAGGCTCTCTGCCGAGCAGAGGCTCGATGACCCTGGGATCATGATCTGAGCCGAAGGCAGAGGCTTTAACCCACTGAGCCACACAGGCGCCCCCCCCCCCTTTTAAAGATTTTATTTTTTTTCTACCTCATTCTTTTAAACCAAGGCATACTTTTCCATAATATCACAATTCAGTGAACCATACTTCTATTGACGAAAGACTTGGCTTTGCTCCTTTTGTTACGTTTTGGAAGAAAAGATGTAAACCTTGAATGGATGTTGCCAAATTGTCCCCCAGAGTGGCTGAAGCACTCAGTGTCCCGTGGACAGTGCCTTAAGGATTCCTTCCCCTGTGTTCTTGCTGAGCTTCAGTATCACAAGCCTTTATACTTTTTCCCCATGGGAAAAATGGGTAAAACATGGTATCTTAAGTGTTAAATGTTCATTACTATTGATACTGAACATACTTCCATTTGTTTAATGGCCATTTGTTCCTCTGATGTGTCAGTTCATATCCTTTTCTTTTTTCTATTGATTATCATTTTCTTAACGTTTTTACAGAATGTCTTTATTTGTATTTTGTATTTTATGGAGCATTTTAGGTTGAACATCATTTTTTCTGGTCGACCGTTTGTCCTTTTGTTCTTAAATAGTATCATTTCTTTTATTGAAGTTGATAACTTTTATGTGGACAAATCAATCTTTTCTCTATGGTTAATGGTTTTTCTTGCCCCCCCCCCACGCTTTCCTACCTACTGCAAGGTCATGAAGATGTTCTCTAAGATTTTCTTCTGATAATGAAAATAGTGTTTACACCTTTGGAATTTTAGTCCAACTGTGATTTATATGTGGAGTGAAGTCGTATTCTAATTTTATATCCCACGTGAATAGCCAGTGGTCTCCAAATCACTTAATTCAGTAGTTTGTCCTTTCCACATAAAATTGTAATATCCCCTCTGTTGTACACCAATATTGCATATACATTCTGGACTTTCTTTCTTGGCTTTTAAAAAATAATTTTAATGGACCTTATGTTTCAGAGCAATTTCAGATTAACAGAAAGATTATGAAGATAGTAAAAAGTCCCAGTACACCTTATACCTTATTTTCGCTGATTATTAACATCTTACCTTAGTTTGGTACATTCATTTCAGTCAGTGAATCAATATTGATACACTATTATTAACTATAGTCTGTCTATATTCAGAAATTCTGTTTTCCCTTTGTATATATGTTGTATATTAATCTCTATATATAATACATTGTGTGTATGTGTAATTTCATTAGGCTCCTCTTGGCTCTGAAGGTTTCTCAGACTTTCCTTGTCTTTGGTGACCTTGACCCTTCTACAAGTACTAGTTAGGTGTGTTGTGGAACTCCCCTCTCTTGGAATTTGTCTGATGTAAAGTGCCATTGTTCTTGTATCAGGGGTAAGGGTACATAATGTCAACTTGACCTATGACTGTCGATGTTGGCCAACAGGGCAAAGCAGTATTTGTCGCGTTTCTCCATTGTGAAGTTTCTCTCTTTTCCCATTCTCATTTCCCATTCATCTTTTCCCATTCTTTCCGTCCTGTACTGCTTGCCAGGAGTCTTTCTGTGCAGCCCCCACTAGTGTGTTAAGCTCCCCCTCCTTTAGAAGCTAAACTATCTGTATAATAGCTTTGGAATATTTTGTCTCTCTTCCCCCATTTATTTATTCAATCATTTATTTGTATCAGTGTGGGCTCATGGATATTGATTGATATTTTGGGTTATAATGCAATACTAAATTTATTTTGTTGTTCAGAATGTTACATTTTTGGGTGTTGGGAGCCATTTCAGTTGGCTCCCATCAATGTGGGCTTGCTTGTTT